AATCACCGAAGATATAGGTGGGTAAGGTTACTTACATGATACACAGGCAAATCATCGATACCATATAGCATAACAGCCATCTCAGGGGATGAAACTGTGCTTCTCCACATAATTTTTTTCATGTAATCAGTTTTCGGTTTCTCGAGAGTGTGAGTTTCCTCCTGAAGCACCGGTTTTCTTTTTTTTTTTGGTCAAAACGATTATCAATTAAAAGAGCAGAGTTTATGCTCCAAAGGGAGAGCTTACAACTAAGGCAGATAGAGCCGCTTTTGCGAGTGAATCCGCAGCAGAATTCTCTGATCGGCCAATTGAATTAAAGGAGATACAAGAGAAAAAAGAGATAGAATCCTGAATATCTGAGAGGACCCCTGCAATTTCTGGCAGAAATTCTTCAGATTTAATCAAGGATATGAGGATTTGGGAGTCCGATTTCACTTGGAAACGGGAGATTCCCATTGAAGTGGCAGAATTAAGTGCCTCTCTGATTGCAAGGGCTTCTGCTGCTAATGTCGTCGGGACGAAGAGTCTTGAGGAGGAGCCTTGCCGAATCTGGACTCCTTTCTCATTCTGCAGTATCCACCCCATTCCTACGGCTAGAGAGTGCGATTGCCAGGCCCCGTCTGTGAAGCATCTGAAGGTGCTTGGGCCTAACGGGGGTTTTTGTTGGGCTACTTTGGTTCGACCCGCCGGTTTTTGTTGGGCCTGCTGCCATTCCTTAGCGAGTTGAATAGCTTTCGTGACGGTAAACTCCGGAGATTGTGAAGCATCTTCGAAAATCAGCTTGTTCCGGGCTAGCCAGATGTTCCAGATCAGCCAAGGGTATAGCGGTGTCGTCGTTAGTCCCACGGGTGGGAGCGTGATCGATCGCTTTGACTGTTGGAGAAGTGAGCGCTCTGAGGGGTTTGGTAGGCTAGCATCTGGGAGGTTTGTGATCGGCGCAGACGACCACACCCGTTGTGCGAAGGGGCAAGTCCACAAGGTGTGGACGATTGACTCTGGAGCATTGCAGTGTTTGCATGCGAGGCTATCAGCGAGCCCTCTGGTTTCCAGTGATGATCCAACAGGTATGGTGCCTCTCATAATTTTCCAGAGGAAGGACTTTATTTTCGGGGGGATACTCAGGTTCCAGATACTGGCTTTCCAGTTGAACTGTTCTTCTATATGGTTTTCCAGGTTCATTCATGCAAGGTTGTATCCTGTTTTCACCGAGTATTCACCTGATTTCTCTGGGAGCCAGACTAGTCGGTCAGCAGGTCGTGATCTTCCTGTGAGTATCTGTCGAATTTGTTCCTCATACTGAGGTAAGTACATTCGGATTGCTCCTAAATCCCAGTCATTTGTTTCCTGACATAGTAGGTCCTTGACTCTCAGATTTATTGCAGAGCGAGGTGGTGGACTAATAGGGGACAGGGTTGCACCGTCGAGAGCCACGGATGATCCCATACACTAATCTCGGATCCTGTACCTGTTACCCAACTCGCTCCCAGTTTAATAATCTCACGGCCAGCTAAGATTCCTTGCCAGCCATGTGATGGGTTTGACGAAAGAGAGCACTCCATTAAGGAGGAATGGTGACAATACTTGCCCAGAAGAACCTTACCAAGAAGGGAGTTTGGTGGACGAATAAGCCGCCAGCTTAGCTTTGCCAACATAGCTTCGTTGTAAGTTTCGATGTCTCTAAATCCTAGACCGCCGTTTGATTTTAGGAGGGTGAGCTTTTCCCATGCTATCCAACAGATCTTTCTTTGGTCTGGCTTTGAATCCTAGAAGAATCTTATTAAGACTGATCGGATTCTCTTGCAGAGCGATAGTGGAAGTTTGAAGCACCGGTTTTCTATTTTCAAAGAAATGAAGGCGCAACAATGGCTCTAGTCTAGAAATGAAAAGATTGCATCGGGTACCTCCTAGCTTTATCTCAACTTCAGCTCTAAGAGGCAGAACCGGCTGAAAAGAGAAGATAGCCATCAAGATAATATGTAACAACAACATAGACTTACATGGTTTAAAAGAGTATAACTCAAAATGATGCATACAACATAGCATAGTGACCGTACGTTCTTCGTAAGTGCTTATGATACAAGAGCATTAATGTACCTTTCCTTTATATATAAAGTTACCAATGTCTTGCAAGAAATAAAAGAGCCCATGATCTCATAGGCAAAGTGAAGAACAAAACTATAAACGAAAATGTACGTATCAGATTTTGCTTATTCAATTAGGTTATTTGTTTAAATAGTTTTTTTTTGGCAATTTTAATGCGAAAACATAACTATTCATAGGAAAAATAGTAAAAAGAATCAACTACTTTGCATTTAGTCTGCTGTTAGTCTGTTATTAATTTGGTTTTAGTTTGACATTAGTCTGTATTTAGTATATTTTCAATTGTATGATGAATTAATCTGTAATTAATTTGTATTTAGTTTGTCATTAATTTGCAAATTTGCATTCAGTATGTTGTTAGTGTGCTATGAATTTACTTTTAATCTGCATTTGGTCTATTTTCATTTATATGCTGAATTATTTTACATTTAGTTTATAATTAATCTGCAAAAAAATAGATAAATGGGTATTTTAAATATTTTTTAAAAAGATTTATTTTCATAATTTTCCCTTATATATAAGTCGATACTTGACATTACATTCTCATTTTTGATCATTATGGGTCATTTTCTATATTTAAACTGAATTCCACTTTATTTTTATACTTATTGTAATACTTTACTCTATTTTCAAATCTATACTATAATAATAAATGGGATTATTCCCAAAATAGAATAAACTCTGTTCACTACTTTATTTTATACACATTACTTTATTTTAGAGTAAAAGATGTTTTAAAATAAAAAGTAGAAAAATATACGGGAGATAGTGTGTAATTTTAAGAAATCGTTTGGAAAATCCTTTATATATTAAAAGAGAAACATTTTTAAAAAGTAACCTTATTTTTGTAAGTATTTACAGTGATGCCACTATGCTGATGTGTCAACCCCACATTCATTCTCAGCTAATTTTTTTAAAAAGATTTAGATTACTAGACTAATTACATGATATGCCATTGTATATTATAGGTCCATAAATATGTTATGTTTTATTTTTTTAAATAAATTCAAATACAATAATATTAGAATAAATAATTTAATAAAATAAAATTTTTTTAATTCTAATTATAATATATACTAAATTTATTATATAATAATTTTAAAATGTTATCCATATATTTTATTATAAATTCATAATAAAATATATAATATTTTTTAACATTTACTATTTTTATAATTCATAGCAAAATATATAATACTTTTAATGTTTACTACTTTTAAAAAATATGTTTATTGATTATTCATAAAAAATATTCTTATAAAAACAACTGAAAGCTTTTATTAGAAAATAACAAAATATATAACACTTTACTAATTTTTAATAATTTTATTAGAAATATGTTTATTAATTGTTTATTAAAAATATTCTTATAAATACAACAGAATAATTAAAAATAATATTTTATTTTTCTCAAAATCTAATCAGAAAATATAAAAGAAAGCCATAATGATTTTATTCACATATTGTTGTAATTATAGCATGCATGGAAATAATTGTGAAAACATATATAATACTTCAAGCTAAATATTTTTAAGTTTATATCTTTTAACAATTCATAATAATATATACAAAAATATATTATTAAAAATATATGTTATTTTCGTCAGAAATATTAATTACAAGAAAAAAGTCATAATGACGAATTTCCAAAATTATTATGATATATATTATTAATATTCTGATTTACTATATAAGAAAATATGATATATTCCATTATGGTTTAATTTATATATGATTCTTAGATAACAAATATGATATATAGCATTATTGCTTACCTTTTCTTTGGTAAGATAATATCAATATTAATTTTTTATTTATCAAATACAGTATCAAATTTTTAGCAAGATTTGTTCATTTTTTTTTCGTAGTTTATCAGCTTTGAAACAATCAACTTAATTACTGTAATTTTTTTATAAATTGATAATATTGTGATTTCAATATTTTATTAATTTATAAAATTATAAATTTATCGGCTTTGGAATTAAATAAATTATTTAAAATAATTAATTAAAAATATATTTGTTTTAAAAGTTAATGATATCTTTAAATATATCATTTTTAAATTGTAGATAAACCATAACATTAAAAGCAAACCATTATATATTTATATTTTAATAAATTATCATAGTTATATATTTATATAACATTATTTTATGGTAATTATTAATTTATGATATTAATGAAACCTATTTACATAGATTTTCCTACACAAATATTATCCTATCGATTTGTATCATATTTTGAACAAGTCCAATTTGGAACTAGGAAAATTTATTAATTTATTTAACTAATCATATTTAATAGATAACAAATTATTTAACTAATAATATTTAATTATTTAAAAGTCAAAAGTAATTAAATATGTACATAAATATTGTATACTTAAATTTTGGACATTGGTGAAAGTAATGAATCATATCATCAATTACAGGATATAGAAAATTTATATGATAACTTTATATTTTTACCCAACTATATTATGTGTTATGCATGCTACTTAGTTTTTAAATTAATTTACATTACAATTAAATTATCTAATATTTTATAAAAAAAATTATATTGTCAATGTTATAGTATAATATTATATAAAATTTATATTAATGTAATTATATTATATAATTTTAAAATTATAATAAATCTAAATAAATAATAATTATTTCACTTCGCACAGATGCTGTTTATTACGTAGTATAAATATATAATGTTAGCGGTTTCAAAACTGAATTGGCATCTCGATATAAGACATCAAATCAACTTTCATCATCTCTAACACAGGCGATTCAGCTTCTCTAAAAAGCTGCAAATATAACAAGCAAGCATAGCATCAACGGAACATCAAATACATGAACGAACTTCCATAACACAAAATGTTCAACAAAAAATAAACTTCCATAACACGATCATACATGAATCTCACTGAGTTCCATCTGAACATCAAGCCGTGTACTCTCTCCCCTGTGTCTTCAATAGATTTTGATATAACACTCCTTAATTGAATTCCTGTGAGTTTATTCTCAGCAATAAGATCATGTTCTCGACTCACACATCTGATATCCAGATTGGGTAAGCTGAAGGAAACCTGCTTGGCGGGACCAAACTGTCAGGAAACCTAACCTAACAATCCAGTGAAAAAGGATAAACAAAAATCATAATAACCAGTGCCAGTCCAATAATTTTTTTTTGTAATGTAAAAAAAAAACAGGCACCTTAAAAGTTCATAAAATAATCAAATTCCCAACAAACAATCATAATTAATAAGAGATTTGTAAAATTAAAAAAAAATTGACCGCTGTAAATATTTTTTCTAGCTCCGCCATATTGGTAGATCTGGAGATCCATTGGGCAAGTTATGGGAAATATGGTAAAGGGCGGTACAAAATATATCAAAGTTCTCTGTATGTGACACTTGATTTGTGCTCCCTTAAGGACAAATCTTTGCCAAAACAATTGATAGAATTGAAATGCAAATTGTATTATATAGAACACTTAAATGGCAATGACTCCAAACAAGCAAATGCTTTTGAGCTGTTGATTCTCTATTAAGAAAGCAAATGGTACTGAACAAGAAAATACTTCTTGGATGCTGCAAGTGTATTAGCATTTCTCCCAGAAAACAAAAAATTGTAAAAATCATCCCCAGCAGATGAAATTCAACAACCTATACTCTCATATAGCCAAAAAATAATAAATTAATTTTCTATTTCAGGATAATCTTTTTGATTATGACAACGACTCACAGAAGACAGATAAATATTTGGCTGAGTAAGAATTAAACCTGACTTTTTCAGGAAAACTACACACAGAAACAACCAATTAACTTTTTATTATGAATTAAACCTGACCTTTTCAGGAAAAGACGACAAATACTTTGCACGATGTTCTTTCTGAGGTTTCTTCGCAGATGAGGCAGCAGTAGTTGAAATTCCAACTTCCTCTTGAACAGAAGCTGATGATTTTTTGCTTTCAGAAAACAAATCCTCGTCCAAATTTATACTGACATCTCCCAATGCAATTTCCATGTTTCGTATAATCGTACCTACTGCCCTATATTCATGAGAATCAACAAAAAAATGGCAACAGTGAGCAAACCACTTTATTAAAAAAAAAAAACAGTGAGCAAACCACTAATTGGATATAGACTGATTTTCTGTAGCATATGAGAGAGTGAAAGTTTCCAAAAATAGTGTACAAAACTAATCCATTTTAGGAGGATTTACTTCACGCAAGAATCAAATACTAATGACAGTACCTCTCATATCCAAATTGGGAAGAAAGAGTGAGTTTGTCACAAGATAAAGAAGCAGAGGATCTCATCACAACTTCAAGATCACATATCAAGACTTGCATTTTTGGTTCTCCAGAAAGAAAACCAAAGCCAAATTTGATTTCACTAGTTGATACTGACGCAATGGCACCCTCTAAAAAACACTCAAACCAGCAGCAAGTCATCACATAGAAAGTGTTTTATCAAACAAAAAAAAGCCTAAATAATGTAAAAATGATCAATCAGTAGAAACACAATCAATCATCCAAAAATGATACTACCACAGTGCCAACAAGATTGTTTGATAAGTTCTTAGTTTCATTGTGTAAATAATGTAAAAAGGAAAAACGACAACCACTACACGCTTTTACAGAAACATTCTTTCTCAGCTACAGAGAAAACACTTGAAAGTTCTTTTTTCCTTTGACAATTATTACGAAAGAGAGAAGGAGAGAGTTTGAAAGAAAGCTTGCATGGGAATGATGAATTTCTCATTCTAACTGCAAAATTCTCTGTACAATTATCATATAAATGACTACACAGTATGATAACTTAACAGGCTCATCTGACCAACCAAACCACCATAAACCGGTATACAAACTCCAATAACACACTGCTTTGACACCTGAGAAGTAATAAGTTTACAAAATTAGCAGGCTGTATATGATGCTCTCCTTTTCAAACTTCACCATGACATCCTCAAGGCATAACCAACCGCCAACGCAGAACCCAATAGATGCTTCTAGCACTCGACTAAGCATCCATGTAAACAACCGGTAACAAAGACTGGAGAAAATTTGAAAATATAAGCGACCATCTTACTACTACTAGATCAAGTAAATTACAGAAAGAAGAAAATGCAAAGTGCAACATATAATACATAATGAAAGGGAACACCCGTAATCATCAATTTATTTTAGTAGCAGTTTAGAGACAAATCCTTGAATAAAAATTAGAAGAATGTTGATCCAAGAATTTCTAATATTTCGACTAGTATGAGCTGATTTGATTAGATTTCATCTGTATAATTAGCATCAACCCCAGAGTTCAAAAGCAGAGAACATAAATTCCAAAACAATAACCAAATAAAAGTGATAAATTTGGAGGAGTTTCTCTCATCTTTATTCATTAATTAATAGGCTTATTTATACAAACCCTATAACTTGTTTAGCAAGTTCTTTACATATTCAATATAGGAAATCTACATATTTAACAGTAAGGTAATATAGATACTAATGTTAACTTTTCTAATAACGAGGAAGAAACATGTTCATGTCGATCTCGTCATCCCGAGATCTCCCAATACCCTCCCGCAAGCTCATACATGGTAACACGTATGAGATTGGACAAATCTTCAGATCGTCTTCACAGTGTTTATACCCAACCTTCGGGTCATCAATGGCATTATACCTCGCCACAAGGTTTTCGATTCGGTGGAAAATACATCATTATCGTAGTGTTGTGTATTTCCATCGTCTCGTCATCATATCACCATGTGAACTGAATGAACCCAACAATTGATATGTTCATAGTCCACATAAACTTCAATCACATCATCATCACCGCCGAATCAGTATATATCTGTTGGAGTCATCATCATAACCAATAGCATCCAAGTTGCAAGCATAAGAAACCTGGTTGTACTAAGTCACAAAATAATAATAACAACGTAGCTCTCATACGAAGTAAATAAAAACTTATTTTTTTTTTTTAGGTTCATAATAAAATAATCAAAAATAAGTAAAACTAATTTAGAATCCAAAAAGAACAACATCACGTAAACTTTGAAAACCAACGAAAACCTTAAGAAATCAAAGCACATAACTTTTTTTTTTTTAAGATATAGTAGTAACCAAAAAAAGAGAATAATAAATATTAGCAAAAAACCTGAATTTCTTGAGAAGTTTGGACAAGCACGTCCTCCTCTCTCCTTTTTTTTTTGGTAAGAAATCAAAACTATATAGTTAAAGAAGAAAAATTAATAGAAAGATAGATCTGCAGCAGTAGGCAGCCAATGATCGAACAAAGTCTTTTATATGTGACTATTGCTCTAAAAATAACAAAACTCAAACCCATAGGAATTGGATCTTAGCTCTGATACCATGATAAATTTGGAGGAAACCTTAGTAGTATAATAGTTTCTCTCATCTTTATTCATTAACTAATAGGCTTATTTATACAAACTCTATAATTTGTTTAACAAGTTCTTTACATATTCAATATAGGAAATCTACATATTTAAGAGTAAGGCAATATACACACTAATGTTAACTTTCCTAATAATAATAATAATAATAATAATAATAATAATAAGGAAATATGTTCACGTCGATCACTGTCATCCCGAGATCTTCTCAATACCCTCCCGCAAGCTCATACGTGGTAACACAGATGAGATTGGACAAATCATCAAGTCATCTTCACGGTGTTTATACCCAACCATTAGGTCATCAATGGCATTATACTTCGCCACAAGGTCATCAATTCGATGGAAAATACATCATAATCGTAGTGCTGTGTATCTCCATCATCTTGTCATCATGTGAACTGAACGAACCCATCAATTGATTCATGTTCATAGTCCACATAAACTTCATCACATCATCATCTCACTGGATCAGTATGTACGATATCCGTATGAGTCATCATCTTTGTGCCTATCATCGAATTCGTAGTTGATAAATAGCCACAAGAAAACCTGAAAAAGAAAGTCGCTGAACCTGAACGAACCTTAAGCTCATGCTCATAATTCACAGGAATATCGCATCACCAATCACTATTTATTTATTTTTTTTTTTTTTTTATTTTTTAATAGCAAAACCAAAAAGATTAATAAAATATTAATCAGAAAACCATAATTTCTTGAGATGTTTGGGCAACACGTACCCCTCTCTCTCTCTTTTTTTTTTTTTGAAATCAATAGGTAAAAAAATAAAATAATAATAAGATAAATCTGCAGCAGTAGGCAGTTAAGAATCGAACAAAGCCTTTTGTATGTGACTATTGCTCTGAAAATAACAAAATTTAAACCCATAGGAATTGGATCTTAGCTCTGATACCATGATAAATTTAGAGGAAACCTAAGAAGTATAATAGTTTCTCTCATCTTTATTCATTAACTAATAGACTTATTTATACAAACTCTATAACTTGTTTAGCAAGTTCTTTACATATTCAATATAGGAAATCTACATATTTAACAGTAAGGTAATATACACACTAATGTTAACTTTCCTAATAACGAGGAGGAAATATGTTCACGTCGATCTCGTCATCCCGAGATCTCCCAATAAAAAGCAGAGGACTCACATGAAGATCATCCAAAAAGTGATGGTAACAATCAGAAACCCGAAGTAGAAGTTAGTAGGTGAAGGCGCCATTTCCACCCCGTAGAGAGAACTCTGCCAGGTAACCATTATTTTTACCAGCAGATGAGAACCAAGTCAAAATTCTGCAAGAATGTGAGAAAACAGAGCTCCTCCGTTGAAGATAGATTCGTTTAGCAAGGTTTTAAAAAGTCTTTTAGTCAACTGTCATTCATTATGCTTTCTCATCAGAAGCTTAATTAAAGAACATAATATATATGTGTACTTATTTGAAACGTGTATTTTTAAATTATCCATGATGTATTTAATAATTTAATTATACAGATATATCTACTATACATTAAAGTAGAAACATTCCTAGCCATTATTGCTGAGGTGTAAGCACCATGATTTTTCTGAGAATTAATATTTATTTAATTCAGTAATCAAAAATATATTTTTATTTAACTAAAAATTAGAAACGAAATAAATTAATAATTTTCATAAAAAATGCCGATCCTACAATATATTCTATTAAATGTAAAAATCTATTTTACAATATGTTAACTAATCAAATTAATTACAAATCTTTAAGAATATTTGTTAGTTTAGAGTATCATTTATGTGTTATGGAAATATTTTAAACATGTTTAAATTAAGGAAATTATGTAAACACGTTTAAATTAAGGAGATTATTTAAACATATTTAAGTTAAAGTAATTATTTGATCATATTTAAATTAAGGAAACTCTTTAATCATATTTAAATTAGGAAATTATTTATTTGGTTAGAAAATCAAATATTCTTTACAAATATAATATATTTCATAAAATATCTACAAAAAAATAACCGAATTGGAAACTAACTAACTCAACAATAATATATATTTTTGTTAAGATTTGATCGTGATTTAAGTATAATAAATATTTATGCACGATATTTTTAATATTACAAAAACTCTTTCACCTATAAATATTAGTCAAGTAATAGTTTCAGTTTTCACATATCGTCTTCAGCTAATTTTATAAATTTTAATGTGATTTTTTTTTTGTATCTCAGATGATGGTTCGAGTTTGAATGAATAGACATTTTATTGGTAAAGCTCATCTGCGATATTCTATTATTGATGTAAAAATAGTAATTATTCTCTCTTTTTTTTGTTTTTTTTTTAAAAATACTCTATGTCCTTCTTTATATCTCTTTGTATATTACTAGGTTTAAACCCGTACTACGTTGCGAGATACTATATCATAAAAACAATTTATACATATTTTTTTATATATTTTTGTTTTTTATCTAGTTTCATATTTTGATTAAAATATAGATTGTAAATAAATTGTTAGTCAAAATATCTTTTTGGTTCAAGATCTCCTCTTCCGTATAGAATGATCAAGTGACTTCCTTATATGTTTTTGTAGCTTTAGATGTTTTAATTTAATATCTTATCTTCTGCTCAAAATCAAATAAAGTCTATATAATAAATTACATCGAATCAAAGTAAAAATCAAATTATTTATTAAATATGAAAAGGTAGACATTAATTTTAGTTTAAAATTATGAATTATATAAAATTTATAAGATATAATTTCACGTGTTAGTATTTCATGAGTTTCCTTATAATATTTATGTTGTGTTATTTATTTTTTGAAAATTTTATGTTTTGTTATAGTCTGAATGTTGGAAGAATATTTTATCAACTTCATCAAACTAACGCTTTAAATATTTTTACTTTGTCATACGACAATAGCTGAAAAATTAAAAAACAATTACTTTGATCT